AAACCGGACCTAGGAACACTACACCCTGGGTGCCGTTTAGGGTGAAAGGTTTTGGGGGTGTAGTAGCCCTTCCCCTCCCCCCCCCCCCCCCATCCCTCTCTATCTCTCTCGATGTGATTGGCCGGAGCATTTAAAATGTAATTTCTTTTTCTTTTTCTTTTTGAATTTTCAACGGTAAAATGAAAAGAATTGTTTATTATTTTTTTTTGATAAGCATCCAATGGTCATATTATTAATTTTTTTTTACTTAGTTACAACCCTATAAATACTCCTTTTATTCCACAATCAAAATCACACATTTTTCTATATTTTCCTCTCTATTTCTAACAAAAATGAATCGCAACAACCCAAACCCAAAATTTGACAGAAGAAAATCTCGTGTTTCTAGTTCAACCACACCAACTAGATACATTTTCGCTTTAGATCCACCGTTCTCGGTTTATCGTCCCAACTTGATGCCCCTATTCAATCTCCTCTACAATTTCAATACCAAAATGTTTGACAATATTACCTCATGCAAGTGCCAAATGTTAACCCCAACATGTTCAATAACGTTTTTCCCAATCAATTTTCACCAAATCAACACAATGAACCCCCCCCTCCCCCACCATATCACTCTCAAAACCAAAGCCAAACCCCACCCTACCATCCTCAAACCTAAAGCCTCGATGACTCGGATGACGAAATCGTACGGAAAACTCGATCCCCCTCACCCCCTCCACGTCGCAAAGGAAAACAACCGGTGGAAGATAAAAAAAAAGGGGACAAGCTAAAGCGTGGACTCCGATAGAAAATTTATTGTTGATACAATCTTGAGTTAACATTTCAGAGGATTCAAATTTAGGAAATGCATAATCGATTAAGATTTTTAGCTATGCATTCTTGAAAGAGTTCGCAAGGATTTAGGCGAAGGTGATGACTATCGTAATAAGCATCAACTGTATTCAAAGTGATGAGAAAATCGCAAAATGTGTTTTGAAGATGAATGAGTTATACAACACCCTAAAAACCCAAAGGGGAAGCGGCCAAGGTGATAAAAGAATTATTTAAGAGGCTTTGCAGTTGTATCGCAATGAAACTAGAAAAACGTTGAAGTTTAATGAGTTATAGTCCAAACTAAACCCAAATCAAATCTGATCCGATCCAATTACAATTCGTTTGGATCGGTTTTTAAAATTCGGTTATCAAAAACCAAAACATTTTAAAACGAAACATAATTATAATATTATCCAATTTTTAAAAAAAGAAGCAAAAACAAATTATTTGGTTGTGATTCAAAATTTATAAACAATAACTAAGAAGGTATATTATAGTTTAATATCTAATAGATAAAAAACTTTTGAGAGAAAATACATATTAATGTTTTTTATTAGGTGAAACGTTTTGAATTTATTTTAAAAATAAACTATAAAATTAATAAATAGTTATAGATATATTAAAATTAAATAAATAATAAATTATTATTCGGTTTTTTTGGACAATTCGGTTCTTATTTTATAAACCATAACCAATCCGAAATCCAAAATAATAATTTGGTTTTGTTGAAACCAATCCAAAAATCCGAATATTCGAACCAAATAGTCCAATCCAAATTGTCCAATTGGACAATTTGGTTTTATCCAAATAGTGAACAACCCTATATGCAATTAAGGAGGTCGAGGTGATGGAAACACATATATTCATTATTTACGCAAAGTTATTATTTTATGTCTCATAATATCTCGTTTGAACAATAATGGTAACAAGATTGTATTTAGAGTAAATTACACGTCCTTGTGGTTCGATCTGATTCGTAATTTCAGTTTAATTTTTGAAAAACTGGCAAGATGCATCATTGTGGTTTTAAAGAAGTTGCACTTCACATCCTTAGTCCATTTAAAAAGACCATTTTACCCGTGCTTTTATATTTTTGTTTTTCTTTTATATATATATATATATATATATATATAATATATATATATATATATATATATATATATATATATATTATTGTTTATTCTTTTTTATTTTATATTTTTTTCGCTTACATTTTATTTTATTTATTTATATTTTTTAATATTTAGATTTTATTTGACTTTTTTTTCGAATATATTGTTTAATGTTTTTTTTACATTTTGTTCGTTTATATTTTTTTGAATAGTTTTTTTCGAAGTTTTTTTGAGGTGTTGTTTGAATATATTTTAATATTTTTTTGACGTTTCATTGTTTTATATTTTTAAAATGTTTTTTGTAAAAAATATAAAAAAGTTCGTTAAATTTGAATATTATTAACATAGATTAGGTATAAAACTATTTAATAGATAGGCTAACCGAAATTCGAAAATGAGTTTCAATTTATATAATGACTAATTAGAATATAACTCAAAAACGAACAAAATTTCTAAAAATAAAAAATAAACTTGATAACATTGACACATGTGTTTGAGTTATAGGAATTATGATTAACATTTTCCATTCGGAACAAAATGTTAAAATATTTCTAAAACTAAAAAAATTGAACTCGAATGACACTCGTTTCGAATTCCAGTTAGCTTATACAATAGCCTTATTAAAAAAAAATTATACCTAATATGTGTTAATCATATTCACATTTAACAAACCTTTTTATATTTTTTATACAAAAAATATTTTTAAAAATCTTCACAAAAATATAAAAAAAAATAAAATATCAAAAAAACGTTAAAACATATATTCAATAAAATATCAAAAAAAAAACTAGAAAATTATTTAATAAAAGCGTCAAAAAAAATGTAAACTAACAAAATCCAAAAAACATTAAAAAATATATTCGAATAAAATTTCAAAAAAATACAAATCATAAAAAATATAAATAAATAAAATAAAATGTAAGCGGAAAAATATAAAAAATTAAACAGTTATATATATATATATATATATATATATATTATATATATATATATATATATATATATATATATATATATATGTTCAAGTATGTAACTAATTATTGTGCGGATGTGTGGACAATATTATTCTATGATAATTACAAAGAGAATAAGTTGTTTAGCAATGCGAATACGTTCAACATTACAAAAATATCGTCATTTTCATGCATTCTCGTTAATTATTATTTATTTTTGTTTTCAAACATCATTTTTCACTCATTTTCATTCTGACAGTATACGACTCAATAAACATTCTGACAATATTCTGACAGAAATGAGAATAATAATAATAATTGTATAATAACCTTACAGACGATTTAATTAGTAAGAATGTGTGTTAATGACAATAGTTATGTAAGATTGAACGTATTTATATTATCAAACAACATATTTTCTTTATCATTCTCAAAGAATAGCATTGTCCATACGTCCGCACAATAATTACTTAGAATAGAATAACCTAAGCCTATATATATATATATAATATATATATATATATATATATATATATATAAGAAAAACAAAAATATAAAAATAAGGGTAAAATGGTCTTTTTAAATAGACTGAGGATGTAAGGTGGAATTTCTTTTAACCGTATGAATGCATTTTGACAAATTTTCAAAGATTGACTTGAAAGTACGAATTTTGGATTAGGATGTTTTTGTAGCATCATACCAAACGATACTAAATCACTTCAAATCGATATCTCTCAATTATAAACTAATCAGTTCCCCAATTATGTTGAACAATGTCTTCAATCTACCTTGATGTAACAATCTAAAACCCTTTCTTCCTCATTTCATCATACGTACATATATTGTAAATTGTGATCATATGATGCAACCATATAATTTCTCCTTAATTTCTCAATGCTCCTTTCACTTATGCACCTAGTACAAACAGACGACAACGACCCTCTTAACAAAGTATGTAGTGATTAATTTTTGAATATTATTTTCATATGTTTTAATTATTTAGATGTAATTTACAAAGATTATTCTTTGAAGGGAATGCATACCCAATATATTGTGAACGTGATACTTAATTATTAGACCAAGGAAACCTTTTAGAAATCATTTGTGTTACATTGACTTATATATTGTATTGTCTTTCATCTTTTTTATTGTGTCGGTTTAAAGATTTATCTTTTTTCATTTCTACATCATGTCATGTATAATCATATCGATCATTTGCACACCCATACCGTGTCATTTTGTGGCCACTTGTTGCAACATGGGTCTATTTAACCCCAACATTTTCTTATAAGATCTTCAAAACCCCACATAAATTCTTATTATTATAGTTTGTTTACTAAAACCACCCTTAGGATGTCTATAAAGATCACAAATTTTGTTTATTCTAAAGTTCTTTTGGCAAAAATAAATTAACTTATAAGCTAAGTTTATTATAATTTAATATTTGATGAAATGATTAAAAAATCTTAAAAATAATATATCATATTTTCTAAAATAACTAATAAACTTATTATTATAAGTTATTTTGTCGATGACTCGATGGTAAGAAGACCTTAGTGAAACCAATAATCATATCTCACTATTTGACTATAGCGACTATACCCATTTGTTTCAACACTCTGTCTCTCTACATAACAATGTACAACAAGAAAAGCATAATGTACAACAAGAGAAGCATAATGTACCCTACTTTCAGACTGGTAAAAGGGTTTGTACTCCACTCCACTTCCATGTTCTAAACAACTTTTATTTAGTAGCTTCATAAGGGTCTTGAAAACCTAAAAGAATATAGCTTGGACAATCCCAATGAAATCTAAATTAAAAATCTTTTTTCAATTCCCTGATTAAATACTGCTCTTTTTTTTTCTTTTAAATAAATAAAAAAATTTAGTAGAGCTATAATCATATAAAGAAACTACTACTAGTGGAAGAATTTGAATAAGCTAATTAAAAAGACATTGATAAAAATTCAACCCAACCAAAAAAATGAAAATAAAAGAAGACGATGAAGATGAAGATGCATCTGTCTCTACCTAGGAGGAGTAGGCGGGTCATATACACACTACTGAGTACTGAACATTCTACCGAAATTTATGCATAACTGGGTTGTACAGTACAATCAATTAATGCTCTCGTTGGAATCTTGAAGTAGCTTTTTCCCAGAAGTGGCTTTATTATTATGCATCCAAACCTTGAGGACTTGTCTTTTAACTCCTACCTCTGCGCAAAACCTTTGAACTTCAGGATCATCTTCTCTTGGGATCCTCCACCCAACTTTCTCTGCGAACTCCAGCATTTTCTCCTTCTGGTCTTGTGTAAATTTAGTTCTAAATCTCTTTTTAGCAACGCCGTAAGGCGGAGCAACTGCCCCCGCCGTAAAATTAAGCTCCTCGCTGGAGGATTCAGTGGCTGCACCGCCGACGCTACCCGCGAAAGCCATTTTGACAGGTGGAGCGTTGATGGAGGAAGCCCAGTTGGGGTGGTGGTGGTGGTTGTGGTTGTGGTGGAGGGAGATTGCAGGTGGGGTACGGTGGTGGTGGTGATGGTGGTGGAATGATGGTGATGGAGATGGGGAGGGTAACGGAGGAGGAAGCTGGAGGAAAGGACCTACTGTGGGACTGGTGGTGGGATATTCTTTACGGTGAAAGTTTCTGTGGCAGTTGCACGCTGCGCATTTGAGTGCTTCTAGGGTTCCGTCGTCTCCTGATGGCATAAACTCGCCGCATCCATCGGTGATGTTTCCACCCATGTTTGCAGCATGGTTCTTGAGACATTCTCTGTACCTCGGCATCTGCAGCGGCGACTTCAGCAGCTTAGATCCGACTGATATCGGTGTAACCGAAGCTCCGGTGCCGGGAAACCGATCTGGATCCAACCCATGATCCACCGTTTCAGAAGATGATTCCCTAATTAAGTGATTGTTGTTGTAAGGAGACGAAGTCTGCATTCCTATCTCTTTCTCACTGCCACTCAACGCCATTAATGACTCTTAAATTAGACCCTAAAAACATGCTCCATTATCAACAAGATTCAAAACAAAACAACCCAACACATGCAGTTCTAACTTACACTTGAAAACTCGGAAACCAAATGTGTTAAGTTGTATACAACCCTAAAAAGACAAGAAGCTTTACCTGAGAAGCAGCAGAAGGAGGTTGGATGATTTAGGTTATGGTGATGTTTTCATGGAGTTTAGAGAGAGAAAGAAAAGTGGTAGAGAGAGAGGGGTGTTGCAGAGGTTCCAACAGGACAAGTATGAAGGCAACAAGAGACAGGTTGGTTGCCTAAGATGAAGTTAGAATAAGAGAGAGAGAGAGAGAGAGAGAGAGAGAGAGAGAGAGAGAGAGAGAGAGAGAGAGAGAGAGAGAGAGAGTGGGAAACAACTCAACCCTAAGAGAAAGATGACATAATATGCTTAACTCTACTACATGTGAGAAGAAAGCATTTGAGTTACACATAAATAATCTCTCTTTGGAAAAAGGAAACCTACACATCTCTTACATGAAATTGAGAAAAATCCATCACCACATTAACATTATTATTAAATTTTTATCATTGCTCGTATTTATATATTTAGGACTATATATATTAACCCATAATGTTGTTTTATTGTTTTAAATAGATAAAATATAAGGATGTTCACAAATGTTACGACATGTTTTTTGTAGGATTATACAAAATAATCCAAATTTTGTAATTTAGAAAAATGTCAACCGAATCGAAAATGAGTCCTTTCGGGATCTGATATCCATGTATATCCTTCCATTTAAGTGGTCTCGTGTTTAAGAAACATATGAAATATGATACCCATTACACCTTGGAACCGTGTTTAGCATTATCTCATGCATTTAAAAAAGAAGAAGTATAGATTTGTAGTTGGAAAATATTACGGTAAACCATGTTAGTTCTAAACTCTTGATGTCCACATTTTGGTAGTTAAAATTCAAAAAATCTAGTGTCCAAAATGAAAACCCCAATCTGAAACGTGATAAAAACATTTCCAAATGGGTCAGCCTTTTTAAAAAAGCATAGGTATTATGTATATCTTAGGTTATACATCTCGTTGTTGGTAACTAGTTCAAAAAATCATAAAACACAATGTCCAAAATGTGAACCCCGGTCAAAAATCCTAAGAAAATTTCTGAAATGGGTTTACCTTTTGTTATTTGGTATGTGTTTTGTAGTTAATGCTCCTAGCCTAACAATATCATGTGTTGTCATCTTTCTTTGATGTCGAAGGTTCAAGTCTCGTTCGAAATATAAATGATATTATGACTAGTTTAGTAGAAGTATGATAGCTTTTACGTTCAAAAAGAATATAATTTCTTAGTTATGTATTATTTTCATATAAATGTGAGTGGCATTTAAATATGTGGAATCAATCCACAATCTATAGTGTTATTTCGAAATAGGAACTTGTACTTGACCGTAGCAAGTCACTATTTGTTCACCTAATGATTTTACATGAACGTTAATATGAGGAAATAATATTTATATTATAAAAACTATCAAAATTATAAATGCTTATAGAATCCACCATTAAATAGCCTCTTATTATATCCTACTAACTAAAATTTTATTTGTAGTGAGAGGCATCAATTGTGGAAACACAACCAATCCACGACAACTAAAGACAAAAATGAAATTAGAAAGATCATAAAGGGTGCTAAAATTCAAATTGAATGTAGATATAACTCCTAACAATGAGTTTGGGTCAAGCCTTGAAAAGGCCAGTATTTTATAGTATTAGTCTAGTGTACTTGTTTGGTGTTTAGAACACCATGAACTACAAATTACTTATCTAGTAGTTATAAAAAATATTATTCAGAAAAGACTACTTGTTTTATTAAAATTGGAACTTAGATATCCCATTTATCGGCCATATAAGATGAGGATCATCGACAAACAGTGGGTTGGCATATGACAATGCCTTTTGATACGTAGATGAGTGGATAGACGAGAAAAGAAAACGGATATGATGAAGGAAAAAGTAAACAACCTGATTAAACTAAGGTTAAGGTACTTCAACAACACCCATATTAACCAAATTGGTGAATATTGATGTTAATAGTGATAAAACAACAACACCACACTAACAACTAAGAATCATCTTTTTTCGTGTATGAACACTAAGAAACAACTTCATAAGTTATTGTAAATTCATTATTTAAAAGATGATTTGCTAGTACAACTTAGAACCCTGTATATAGGGCTAGAAAATTGAGAGAAACAAAACTCGTTGAAAATGAAAACACTAAAGAAAGATCAAAAGTTGGAAAGCATTTAAAGTATTATTAAAGACCCATTAAGAAAGCATTAATAGGCTGATTATGAAGACCATGTAACTCTTTTGGGCTAACAGGAAATTATACTTCTCCCTTAAGTGTTTCGAACCTAAAATAAGAATTTGAATCAAGACCAAGGTAAGTTGGAGATATGAAATAGATTGGTATTGTATTAGATGAAAATGAGATGGATGCCTCTACATTAACCTCTTCTGATTAGGAAGGATTTGCTCTCACATCTTTGGATGGAGTATCTCCAAGGTAAGGAAAAGATCCCTAACGTTGAAAGTTTCTTATATATTTGTATCCACCGTTAACTATAGTTTTTAAGCATCATCTCTATTCCCATCCAACACCTTAAATGGTCCATTTCCTCTTTCCATTAGCTTTTTTTATTTGAATGAAATCTTTGTTTCCTTAAGTGTGACCAGACGAGATATCCACGTTCAAAGAGAGCCTTTTTGTGATGCTTATTGGCCTTTTTATTTTACAAGTTATTGGCATGCTCAATCTTTGCTTAAACTTGTTCATGAATCTTCTACATTTCTTTAGCTCGAGTTGATGCCTTAAAGTGAACTTCACTACCCTTAGGAAGTTGTATCATATTAATAAGGGTGAGAGTATTTAATCCATAGTTTTCTTCAAATAATGTGAATGCAATAGCATAACTGGAAGATCGATTATAACAAAACTTAACAAAAGAAGTTATAACACCCAATATTTCAATGACTTTCTCACCATTCTTCCATTCGTTTGCAGATGATAGGCAATGTAACACCTCTTATTTTTGGTTTGATATTTAAATCATTTTAAAACATTTCAAAGTCATTAGGTATGGAATTTAGGTATTGTTCACAAAAGTTGAGCAAATTAAAGTACCCATGGGTTAAACAATCACAATATCAAAACAATAGTTTAAGTAACCACATAATATCGTGAGTTTTAAATCCCAAGTTATCCTCTAAGTCCTCATTTGCTACTACCACCTTAATACATGTGAAAATATGGGTTAGGCGTTGGGAATGCCTAGTTAGTAACACCGTGATTTTTGTGACATCCCAAATTTTCCGGTCAGAAAAAACCGATTTAATTATGCTTATTTCATTTCTGAGTATCCTTTTTAAAGAATTGTAATGCGAAATTTGTTCCCAATAACGTGAAAATATTATTACCGAGTAATTCCAAAGAAATGTTGTTTTATTAAAAATTTCGGAATATCATCGTTGTTGAATCAAGAAAGTGACCCTCTTAAACCTCAATCCGAAGTCCTCCTCTCTACCGTAAGGATGTATCTGCTACCGCAACGAGAAATGATGAAGCCATCCGCAACAACCTCATCTGAAACAAAGACTTAGTTTTTAACTTATGTATTTCCAATGTATTGTCCAGTGTGCCTTGCATGGACACTTCTTTTCAATTATAGTCTTTGTTTATTTCTACTGTATGTTCTCGGAACTCTATAAATAGGGTGTTCCGGTTCTAATGAAAAACACATCTCTTATCACATCTCTCTTCTCTCACTACCTACTCTCAGAATTCTCTCTTATCCTTAAGATCTTTCTGAACTTATAAAATCTAACTCTCAACTCTCCTTCGGATCAAGTCCTTGTGACTTCAATCACTTTAAACTAATCACATCTACTAACTAGTGTTTGGTTGCAAACCTTGTTAAGAATCAGTTTAGTGTTTACTTGATATATAACTTGTTGTCATTTATATTTCCTTACATTTTCGCAATTACATTTCCGCATCTAATCATCTAACTATCTAACAACTCTAACTTCTTATTATTGTTGAGCTTTATGATCCTTTGAGTTAAACTTTATTCTGCATTATATAACTTGTTCAAACGTTTGTTCAAGTGTGTTTCTCAAAAGTTTTTCTCTCAACAATTGATATCAGAGCCAAAGTGGTTGCTTTTTAAACAAAACTCTGATTTTGAAAAGCCCTCTATACCACTGAAGCTCATTTCTGTCTTAAAAAAATACAACAAAATCTTTCTCAAAAACAAGGAAATATGGCACAAGCATTATCACTCAATGTTTCCAACAGTGATGGAGGTTCGAATAGAGCTCCAATACTGGTGGCAAATGAGTATCATCACTGGTCCTAAAGGATGGAGAGATATCTAAGAAGACTTGGACGAGATGTGTGGAGATCTGTAGAAGAAGGACCTCATGTCCCTATTCTTACTCCAGTTCAAGCCGAAAATGCTCAAGCCAGACTAGGAGGAGGTCAACCTGCCATGAATCGTCCCACTAAGGATGATCTTGATAAAATGGATAGTGATGCAATTGCCTTTTATGAAATATCCTGCGGAGTTGCTCCTGACAACTTCGACATTATCATCAATTGCAAGTCAGCCAAAGAGATCTGGGATGTTCTCAAGAACCTATATGAAGGTTCTGAGCAGGCACAAGATAAGAAGCTCACCACCGCACTCAACGATTTCAATAACTTCAAAGCTCATGCGGGTGAAAGTCTCGAGGACTCCTTCAAAAGATTCAACCTCATTGTTACCAAGTTATCTAACGCTGGCACTGTCCGAAGCAACCATGAAACTAATCTTCAGTTTCTTAATGGTTTGGGAAAACACTGGACTACCGCGAAAATGATAGTCCAAGGTGATAGGAAGATTCACTCACTCTCTCTTTTCAAACTGTATGGAGAACTCTAAGCACATGAATCAACTGTG